TTTATAGTCTTATAGAGTACTGACCCCTTCGGGGGCGTCCCACCACCATTTCAGGTTGAGGCTAGAGCTTGCTTCATGTGCTCGTTGCTCGAGTGATCATCTAGGGGGGGGGGGGGGGGGGGAAGACTTGGTTCGTGCTTCCTTCATTCTGTTTTTGAACATTAATAAACATGCTCATGGATATTTTACTATAGAGCATGCGTGCTCATGTTTGCCACGTGTGACATTTGTTTTCAAACTATGTTTTTCCGCTACGTATTGAATTACTTATTATGTTTGTTTATGGATGACTTACGTGTGAATGATATTCGAGACGTCTTGTATAATATGGTTGTGTTTGACTATGGTTGACTATTCATATTGTACGGCGGGTTGTTGACGTGTCCGAGCAGGCCCAGGGCGTGACATCTGGCATCTTTGTTATTTTTGTTATTTTGTCGAACACATACAACTTCAGATTCGAATTAGTGGATGAAATGGATGGAGAGGTGGCGATGATAAGATGGAAGCGGCAATCAGGGGTCTCACTTGAAGCAGGGGAATGACAGAGATGGATGGGAGAGAAAGTGGAGGAAGAAAGTGGCCGTACCATTCGGACGAGCCTTGAGGCCGCCGACTGATCTTCAAGAATTTTTGACCAACACACTACCATGAACGTTGATCAGGAATTCTGCTTTATCTATTGGAAAAGTTGGCTAAAACTGAAATAAGAAAATCAAATTGAAATTTTAGAAGTTAAAAATGAAAAGAAAACGTAGGTGGGCTATAAATGATATATGACATGCGGAAGTAGACTGTTGAGGTAATTACCACTATGTTTTATCATTTCTAGTTTTCTTCACACCAACAATGCATGGACAAAACAATTTATATTGAGTCAATCCTAAAAAGCCCAACAAGTAGTACACAACACAGACTAGGATATGAAGTTTTGGTGTTATATTATTGACATAAAAAATAACAGTGACTAAAAAGATCAATCATTATTCAATATGTTGGGACATGGTTGTAGTAATGGATGACTAAATGCTATTTAGGGGATCCTCATTCATGAGTTTATTTGTGGACAGGGCCGGCTAGAGCAAATATGAGGCCCTAGATGGTCATAAAGACATTTTATTTAAAAAAAATCAGCATAATAAAAAAAATAGAATATCCGTTAAATAGATGTAAATTACATATGAAAAGATTCATATATTACTTTTAACGTAATGAGAATATTCTTCTTATTTTGCGAAAGATTAAAAAATGATCAAAAATACATCCTCACGCTCATTCTCTAACACGATATTTGAACTCTCGTTCTCAATAATATTTGAGGGAGAAGGTTTTGTGGTTACGAACGGATAACCTCCACAGAGCCAGTAGCAATCTTATAATTAAATCATTTCTTAATTTGTTCTTTGTCTTTATACATCTCGAATCATGCTTTCGTTTTCCCGTCACCATAAATTCTTCTAAATAAGTTATTCATAAATTAAAACTGAATCCACTATTTTTAATTGTGTACGTATTAGAGATTATATATCTTCAATATATCTATCAATCAAATCAGAACTTACAATTTCATTGCAAAGACCATTGGGATCACATTCATACGATAACGAGAATTAGGAAGATCTTGCATCAAGATTACATTTACATCAACGTAATCCCTGAGAATATCAATGTGGTTGCTAGATATATTGGCTTCGGAAGGGACGTGAAATCTTCCCATTTCTTGAGGATTCTTAAGTTTGATGCAATCGATTTCCCGTATGTTGTTTGACTTTCCTAGTAGTAGGCTTTGGTTGATGTCCTCCTACACCATTTTGTATTCCCGTATTCTAATCTAATAAATTCTCTTTTTATTTAAAAATAATAATATACCCTAAATCCCCAAGCCCTTAATGCCCAAACCAACTCAACCAACTAACATTTTTAAAAAGTAGAAGATTTACTCGTAAACAATAAAATACTGTGTAACAAACAAGTAAACTGAAGATCCTTCAAATCAACTAAATCAATTACTGAATTATTAATTAATAAAGTTAATAAAAGACCTAAAGACTAAAGTCAGGAGTGCAGACCGTAGATCTAAAGACCTTTACTCTGTTAGGCCGATTGGGGATTGCAGAATGGGCCAAGCCGGCAAGGGGTAAAGCTGTGAAGGGGGAAGGGATTGTCGTTGTGTGTTTATCGGTCTTTTGAAAAAGGTAGTCGTATGCTTCCGCCTCTGACCTTTGAGCTTCCGCCTTCGTCTTAGTCGAGCAAGGCCTTCTGCAGATTTGCTATAGTAATAGGTTTATTTTAAAAATTGGAGGCCCCTAAATTTTGGAGGCCCTAGACACTCGTCTAGGCTTCCTGCCCCCATAGCCGGCTCTGTTTGTGGATCATTTTATTGATGTGGAAAATCTTTTTAGATATCATGTTTGATGAAATGAGATTATTTTAAAAGGTTATGTAGAAAAAATTCTCGTATCAATTATCAAATCTCTAATTATATTCAAGATTATTCTCAAGATTAAATAATCACATTTAATGTATTCTTGTCTTTTAATTTAGAATGAAAAAAATACCTCCTCAGACAATAGCAAGAAACTCCATAAAAAACTGAGTAAATAAAGATCATGGTTGAAGGAGAATTGATAAGCTTTGATATTATTTTAAAAAATTTATGTAGCAACGACATGACTATAGCAAACGATAAAAAACTTAAATTTGAGGAACATTGATGAAGGTGCTCTTATAGTGATATGCCCCAGATGGGTAACGAGAAGTTTGTTGGAATGGTAACTCTTTGTGTAGTGTAATAATATCCTACTATATACAAAATCAAGAGAAAATGGTTCATTTTCCTGTCAAGATATACGGTTATAAAATGAGTCACAAACATGACTATTATAAAAAAAATCACAGAACAAATAGGCATGTCACACGTGAACCCAAGTATACACATTTGTCATCGAGAGAAATGTTGTCAAATAGATTTACAATAAGGGTGCGTTTGGGAGTTTGAGGGTGAGGAAAGGGGAAGGCTTTGAAGGGGAGTAGAGAGAAGGGAAGGGGAGCGAGATGGGAAGGGATTCCCTCCTCTTGTTTGGGAGTTGCAAATTTCAAAAGAGGAGAGTTTGGGGACTTGAGGGGTTTCAGCGGCGGAGAAATGAAGCGAGTAGCAGCTCATAAAGATTTTATGTGGAAACGGTTTTAGTTTGAGAGGATAAATCTCTCATTTGCGTAGTTAGACCTTATAAAACCCTCAAATCGAGAGAATTAGAAAACACATGTTTTGGAGGGTTTAGAAGGATTTTATAACACCCCCAAAACCTTTCCTCATATTATTTAAACTCTCAAACACAAATAGAGGGGTTTATTTCCCTCACATGCCTTCTCCTCCCCTCCAAAAACCAACTCCTAAAAACACCCTAAGGGTGAGAAGTGACCTCCCACCAAGCTAAAATAATCTTGGGGCATCCATTACACCTCAATGGTCTTTACGTAGTACTCCTTCCGTCCCCCTAATATTGGTACGGAAGGGAGTGGTGTTGTTTTTAAGAAAAATAGAATTATGAGGTTGGTAATGAGTTGATAAAGTGGAAATAAAGTAAGAATGAATTAGAGCCACACAAATATTACCAAATATGGTATGAGACAATAATAAAGGAACATCCAAAAATGAAAAAAAGGGACAATTATAGAGGGACAGAGGGAGTACATAGGATAGGTATCAAACATTCAAACATGCCTCAATACCCACGCGTCACCTCTCATAAAGGTATTCAAATGCTATAAAGACATACTCCGTGTAAAGGTATGACCTTTTCATCAACCCATTTACAAATTAAGATGTCTTCGAAGAAGTAATTAGACATTTGTTCTCCCTACATATATCTCATTTTCAATATATACTTGTTTAGGCAAAATAAATTTGTAATTGCATTTATATTATAAGAGTATAAAAAATATAGCATATAAGAGTACATATGGTAATAACTAGTGTGTATTATAAAGAACATATTCTTCAAAGTAAATATATGTATTTTTGCACACAATACATATGGGAAAAAGTTCAAATTTTTGAATTTGAAACATCATCATCATTACTCCAGTATTTCAAAGGCTCCCACATACGATGGAGTAAAGAATGATCGAATGTACGCAACCTTACCCATGTACTAAAGTACAAAAAAACTATTTCTGGATGACTCATGGTGAAAATCACGTTAAAAATTGCATGAACTGACAAATGCTTCATAACAAAGAAGCAAGGACAGTGTAGTCATCCAATTTGCTTTACTCCATCATATTTCTGAGCCAAAATTGTGAGCCTTTAGCTCCATTGCAAATGATGGAAAATGAAAACATCATCCAAATATATGGACAAATTTGAAACATAAACATATGTTACATCGGGTTTAGCAAAATTTCAATATGGAAAACCTCAAAATTTCAAAAAACAATGAGAGGTTGAATAAGTTTTTGAAGAATTTTGTTGGCGACTTTATAGCAGTGGTTTTGGCCGCAACCACCACCATTGGTTTATGGTGGCAGCAATGGGGCAAGGGCGATGTGCCATTTAGGTAGGATAATTTTATGATCCAAGTGTCGTTGCGTGCGCTCAATAATTCTAGAGTTTATGATCTATCGTACAAAACTCCTAGACAATTAAAATCCAAGTATGATCACATTCAACATTCATCGACACCGGTTCCAAAGAATGAATCCAACAAAACTTGGACCACATGTAATAAGACTGCACTTCCCACCACACAAATCTACTACTATATTCATTACCATACCATCATTTTCCTTGTCAACCCTTGAGCTACTTCATGAAGGTAGGAAACTCATAGAAAGCAAGACCTCCTTCATTTCCCTTAGTGGGAAGTGAACCCAAGACCTCCCATAAGGGGAAGAAGGTTTTGGGTTCTTAGACCATGTGAGTCCATACTTGGTGTACCAAGCATATTTCCATTTACTATACCCAAGTGAGTCAATTTCAATTAACAACTCGCAATAAAAGCGCATGCAACTCAAAGCTTTTATGGGGGTGACACAGATACTAAAGTGAAGTCAACCACAAACAGTTTTTGTGCTTTTTCTGTAGCAAGCACAGAACTTTGTATATCATAATTCACATGGGGGTTGGGTGCATCTTACCATGCACCGCTCAATATATATGTTTATGGAGCAAATACTAGTTTATGTCCTTCACATGGGGGTTGGGTGCATCTTACCATGCACCGCTCAAGACATGTGTTGTGTATTCAGGTAGTAACGAAGACTTTACATAATTACATCATCCTTTCAGGATAGTTATCTTTGTTCTTGTTGGTTTCCCTCCATGTCTGAAATCTGTTAAGCAGGGTTAGTTGCCTCATCAAACGCCATCTCCTGGAAGCAAGCATAATCAAATCACAGAAATATTAGTCGACAGTCAGCCTCGCATTTTGCATACTAATAGTATGTAAACTTAGGGGAGGACTTCAAATACTGCATTAGGATTTCGTTTGACATAGATTACATAAACATGTATCCACCCCACCCCCCACCCCCCCACCCCACACACACACAAAGAAGTCTTGTAAATTATTTTTAGCATTAGAGACAAGACACTTTTTGGCAAGGAGGTTTAGTAATATATATTCCATTCACACATTTAGTATTTATACCCAAAGAAATCTACTAACTCAACCCTCCGGACCGGAAGCGGAAGTGGAAAAGGACTGGTCAGAATTTGCTGGAAACCTGAACCACCAATCGATTCCAATACTGGAACTGAGACCAGTACCCAGTTTGAAACCCTCCAGTTCCTGTTCTGGTTCCTCTAGAACAGGACCAAAATAGTCGATTCCAGGTTGGCCCCTGATTTCTGCTATAAATTCACGTCCGGAACTGGTCAACAACCAGAGTGGAACCAAAAACCAACCCAAAACCATCAAGGAGGGTGGTTCCCATGACTACCTAGGGAGGACTGGGAACCGTTTGATCCAAAACCGGACCGCAACCACCCTACATAGCATCTATTGAAATTTGACCATCGATATATGCATAATTGCATATTATACATGGAGTCTGAAAAATTGTGTCTTTCTGTTATAAGCATGGTGGAATGATGAGGTGAAACAAGCCATAAGGAACAAAAGAGATTGCTACAAAAAGTTGGGGACAAGTTGGAGTGATGAGAACATAGAAGCATACAAGGAGACTAAAAGACAAGCAAAGAAAGCCATAAAAGAAGCATGAGGGAAAGCGAACAAGGAGTTGTATGAAAAGTTGGACTCTAAGGAAGGAGAACTATATTTATAGACTTGCTCGTCTTCGTGATCGTGGGACTCAAGATATTGCAAAAGTTAAGTGTGTGAAGTATGTCGATCAGAGAATATTAATGGACGACGAAGAGATAAAAGAGAGGTGGAGGTCATACTTTGATACACTATTCAACGGGAACAAAACGCAAGATATCAGTGATTTGTCCATACCAGATTGTATGGTAAATCGTGATTTTGTGAGAAGGATCCAAACAACAGAAGTTAAAGAAGCTCTGAGGAAGAGGGGACGGAAGAAAGCAGTGGGTCCAAATGGCATACTGATCGAGGCTTGGAGAAGTTTGAGAGAGAGAGGCGTCGAGTGGTTAACAAGTTTCTTCAACATGATTTGGAGAAATAACAAGATGCCAACGAGTTGGAGGAAGAGTACTCTTATCCCCTTATTTAAGAATAAAGGTGATGTACAAGAATGTGCCAACTATCGAGGGATTAAGCTTATGAGTCACATCATGAAACTTTGGGAGCGAGTGATTGAGCAAAGACTTCGAAGAACTGTGAAGATTTCAGAGAATCAATTCAGTTTCATGCCTGGTCGCTCAACAACTGAGGCCATTCACCTTCTTCGGCAACTTATGGAGAAGTATAGAGACGCTCATAAGGATCTGCATTTGGTGTTCATTGACTTAGCAAAGGCATATGATAGGGTACCTAGAGTTCTTTGGTGGGCCTTAACTAGGCAAGGCATATCACGCAAGTATATCAGCATCATCATGGATATGTATGAGGATTGTACTACAAGTGTGTGTACTAGTGTAGGGAGGACTGAAGAGTTCCCTATTACTATCGGAGTGCACCAAGGATCGCCCTTGAGCCCTTTCTTATTTGCCATAGTCATGGATGAACTTACGAAGTCAATTCAAGACGATATACCATGGTGCATGATGTTTGCCGACGATATTGTATTGATTGATGAGACGCAATCAGGTCTTAAAACAAAGTTGGAAGTATGGCGACAAACATTGGAGAATAAGGGTTTCAAACTAAGTCGGAGCAAGACAGAGTACATGGAGTGCAAGTTTGGTGGAGGTAAAAGCAGTGGTAATAGCGGAATTACCCTGGATGGTAAGGAGATATCAGTCAGCGATATGTTCCGTTACTTGAGCTCCATAATTCAGAAGGACGGTGAGTTAGATGGAGATGTATCCCATAGAATCAGAACAGGGTGGATGAAGTGGAAGAGTGCGTCAGGATTTCTATGCGATCGAGGTATGCCGACTAGACTGAAGGGTAAATTTTATAGGACAACAATTAGGCCAGCATTACTGTATGGCGTAGAGTGTTGGGCGGTGAAACAATGTCACATTCAAAAGATGAGTGTGGCAGAGATGCGCATGCTGCATTGGATGTGTGGGCATACTAGGAAGGAACGCGCGAGGAATGAGACAATCAGACAAAGGGTGGGAGTAGCACCTATTGAAGACAAGATGCGGGAGTCGCGCCTACGGTGGTTTGGTCATGTGCGTAGAAGACCGAGTGATGCACATGTCAGATGAGTTGAGATGTGTGGAGAAGAGGCAGGGAAAAGAGGGAGAGGAAGACCCAAACAGACGTGGTTTAGGAGATTTCGAAGTGATATGCTTCTTTAGGGGTTGGATGAGGGCATGACTTTGGAGAGAACTAAGTGGAGGGCGGGTATTCGTGTGGAGGAGTGTTCTCGTATCATCTTTTTCACTCATCTTTTTTTCCTTGTTTTTATCCTTATATATATAAGCATTATTTGTAGCCTTTTTATTTTATCATTTTTATGTATATTCATCTCTTTTTATATCATCTTTTTATAATAGCTTATCTTTTTTATCTTTATTTTCTTTCATTTCCTTTTGGTTGTGATATCATGTATCGATTCATGTTAGCCGACCCCAATATCTTTTGGGACTAAGGCTTGGATGTTGTTGTTGATGTCTGTTATAAGCATGGTAGGAATATGAATACTCATTAATCTTGAAAAAAGCTACAGAAGTACAGACGAAAAGTCTCATCATATGCAAAAAACCTAGGAGTTTGACCTTTTCAATGTATTTAAGGCATAGAGTTTGAAATTATATGATACTTTTAATAGAGTTAAAAAACCTATTTATACAACCTACAAAGTGATGGAGAAATAAAAGAGCAGGAGAATGGTGGAGATAGGAGTGGGGTACAAGAAAAATTCTTGGGCAAGAAGTTTTCACATGTTTGGGATTTTTAATTGCTCTAATGTTAGTTTCCCTATTACTTTTAGAATAAGTTAGTATTCCATTCTTATTAGGAAACAAGTCAAACAAGTGTTATAGTAGTACATAATACTAGTAGTTGTTAGTTCCATTAGGGAAGATATGCTTTGAATTATAGATATCGAGAGTTCTCCAAACAGTCCATAAATTTGATAAGTTCTTCAATTATTTTAGTGTATTTGTGTGTTTGTTAGTACTCTCCGGGTGTTCGCATAATAAATGGATCGTCGGATTGTTCTTTAGGGCCCTTCTTGTACATATTCAGCTTCTGTGTGAGTCACAACTCTCGTCAGCGAGCAAGTAAATAGTCCTAATCTATTGCAATATTGCTAATATGATATTTCCTTCAGTTCCAAAATTATCCACACTTTCCTTTTAGTCCATACCACAATTATCTTTCATCTCCTTTTAAGAAAAACATTGTGTTGGTTCATAGTATTCCTCTCTCCTCTGCATAACATTTAACCCCATAATGTCACATACTTAATCACCATGCCCAGTCAAATTATTGTTTAATTTAGAGAAGGGAGTATTTAAAAGACCAATACTAATAGAAAACGAGTACACCCTTCTTCCGGAATATCACGTTTCTTAAGATGGTATACTAAAAGTCTAAAACAGTATTGATCCAACTCTGAAAAACTCCACAACACGGCAAATACTCTGTGCCAAAAGTTTCACCAGAGTAACCCGAGGATAGCTATGATGATAAAAAATTAATGGAAATAGTCATCGTGACCACCAATGTGACAGAACATGTGATCTCTCCATATTACATCCATCTGTCCAACAATCCCGGGCTAATATTCATTGGAGAACAATTGACAGATATCAACTATGGAGAGCAGTAATAACATGACCAACACTCTCCTAGCCAAGGACAAGATGGGCTTCGTAGATGCACATAATGTTATGGATGTGTGAGGATGACATGATGAAGTCATGAAAGTACGGCTCAAGTATGCCATGGATAAAAAGTTATGAAGCAATGTACATGTCGTGAACTGCAGAGGATATATGGATCCGGTCTTAGACCCCGTATTTCTGAAAAAGGAAGCATACATCGGTTCTAGAGACTATGTCAGGCTATAAATCTACTTCAACAAGAAAAACAAACTGTGTCGGCTTTTACGCTGAGATGGGCGAACTATGGGTGGAAGTACAAGTGATAACTCCATTGCATCCATGTGTAATGGTAAATGCACATGCAAAACTGGAAGAAAAAAAATCAATGAAATAAAGAGAGGAAGATGTTAGTTTCTTTTAAATTAACCCATGTTCTGGTTCTGAGCTTTACCAAACAAATCTTGGGGGTTATATGAGCATACAAGCATGTAAATAAGGATACACCCTCAGCTAGTCTAACTAATATCTGTTCTACGATCCACGATAGACCCATGGTATTAGATCACCTGTTCCCCCTCCAAGCTGCTCCTCCAATGGATTCCGACCCCAGGGTCCACAGTTCTATGCTACTCTTCAACTATTGAGCTACCCCGTGAGGGTTTTAACTATCTGATCTCTTAATTGGAAGCGCTCATTTTCTAGTGACTCATGAATAATAGCAATGGAACATCTCAGTGAATCGCAATTCGCAAAGCCCGCCCTTGAAGCAGCAGCACGGCCTTCGAAACCCATCACTCGCATAATGAAAAAAATTGTCCGAACGGCAGAAGCCCACACCTGCTCGGATTCCAAAAAGTTGGTACATTCCAAAGTAGGTGGCTACCATGTTATCGGTTGGCCTGACAAATCTTGAAAGCCGTAACAAAGCAATCAATGCATGGGAATGGATATTCACCGCAAGAAGCAACGGACTGGACCACAGGCTTCTCAGGATGCGTCAGCAGATTTGCAGCTCACGACCTCAGTAAGCATGGTTGGCAAGAATTATTCTAATGCATGGACATTATTAAAAAAATAGCAGGTTGATTAAACACAACCGAGAAAACCAGAAAGACTTACTCATCCAGAATCCACATACTGACTTGGAGAGTGTATATGATCAAGTATCTAATGAAGTTCTTTGGATGGTGTTCGAGAAGAAAAGTGTACGAGCGTCCAGACGTCCAGTGTCTGAGTTATAAATGATGGCTAAGATGGAAATGGCTAGGGTGAGGACACAGAGAAGTGAACCTAATTAATTGTCAATAACAATAAGGGTCCATCAAGGATCTGCCTTGAGCCCATACATGTTTGTGCTAGGTGCATGTTATTTTTTGATAGCATCTTTCTGGGATAAATCTTTGGGCTTCAAGATGAACTAAGTAGATCTAAGACGAAGTATATAGAATGTACATTCAGAAAGACTTATTCCGAGGGGGAGGTCGAAATAAGATTAGACTCGGAGACAAAATACAAAAAGAGAGCATTTTCTACTTGTTTATACGGATGGACAAGATGGGAACATAAAGCAGATGTTAAGCATACGATGCACCACTAAGTGGAAGAATGCAGAGAAAATTTATTTTGATCGAAAATTTCTACTTAAACTGAAAGGAGGATTTTTTTATGAAAGCTATTAGGCTTGCTATGATATATAGCTCAGTAATCTAACACTGAAGTATCAACATGTTCATAGAAATGTCAGTGGTGGTCTGGTGGAGGTGAGAAACTGAGAATGTTGAGATGAATGTGTGGCAAAACTATGAAGGACAAAATTTTGGAATGAGGTGATGTAAGAGAGAGTATGAGTAACTCCGAATCTCCGATTAAGGATAATTAGACAATATGAAGGAGAACCAGTGGAAATGATTTGGCCATAATCAGAGAAGCCGGTCAATGCACGGCAAAAGAACTAAGAGGGTAGACGAAGACCTAAGTTGACTTGGAAGGAGACTATTAGACGAGATCTCATAAATATGGGACTTATGGAGGAAATGAATCTTGACAGACCTCACCTAGTGGGTAAAGGCTTAGTACATTTTCATATCCGAAGCGCATAGGTTGTTTTGGTCAGGAGCAAAGTTGTTTCAAAGGTTACCCTGTAAATTCGTGACTCAAAACCAAACTATTGACAATTTATTTCGTCCCTTAAGTTCCATGCATGACATGCCTCCACTCAGGAGGACAGCATTGGACGAAACTCACGTTAGTTGGCCATTGACACAAGGCATGGGACTGATGTGGCATAGTAATCAGATTCACCACTGTCTTTGGTTTTACGTGTTACTACTTTTTTTTACATTTTTTATAATTATTCTTACCAAATTTACATTTTATATTTGCCAGCAATGGATCTCTCCTTTTCTATTGTAATATTGCTGTTGATGATTTCAAAAGGAGGCAAGCTGTATAGAAAGCAATGTAATAAACACTACACACATATCTTCAGCAATCACATTCCTAATAAGTTAAGGTTAACAGTTTAAAAATAAATCAAGGTACGGTTAAGAGGTTAACAGCTAAACCATCTGGCCTATTTACCTTGCACCAGTGTTTAATTTCACAATACTCAGTGCATATTACTTACAATTAGAAAAAGTTCCAAAAATTACCTTGCCACAAACTGGACAATTATCGCTTCTCTCCATCCATTCATAAATGCAACCAAGATGGAAATGATGAGAGCATTTCAATATTATTTTGGGGTTTTCTTCTGTATATTCTGCATAAGAAAGATGCAAAAATGTGTGAGAATAAACACAAAACACAAAGATCAGCACCACTAAGATCAGTTATGCTTATCAGCTTATGTAAAGAGAGATGTTTCAGACGTTAGTTTTCTTTAACCCCCTCGAGAGAAATTGCAAGTGAGAGTAAAAAGAATAGCAGGAAGACATTCAAGCGACGGAATAGGCTGAAAGGATGGCTCCGTGGCTCAAAAAAAACTACAGCACTATACCTTCAAGGCATGTAGGGCATGCATCTTCATCTTCTGAAGAGGAAGAAGAAGAATAAAGATGGGCGAATCCAGTCGTTTTAGTGGTTGAAAGCTTAAGTGAGGTTTTAGAGTTGAGCTCTTTTAATCCTTGCTCACAAGAAGCATCCCATTTGTTTCCGGTACTCATAGAATCATCATCATCATCAATATCATTTCTTCTTAATGGTTCAGTCTCCTCATGCGAGTGACTTGAACCTTTTTCCCTTCTGGAGACTAGTCCATCTCTTTGTAAACGGAAATATCTAGGATCAGCATCATAAGGTAATGGTCTAGGAGGAGACCGATACATGTCAACGAGAGAGCTATCGGGTGACCCAGCAGAACTCAATGACGCTGCCACTTGAGTGGATGAACTGATGACACGTTGTTCTCTGTGAAATACTGATGTATACTGCACAGCAATTCAGGAAAAGAAAACTTCAAGCCATAGTGATTATTTGGCAAAGATCATTTTGATGAGCGTGGGACAACTAACATCTTTTCCTATTGCGATATATACATGAGCTGCTTAAATAGTTAAAAAACCTTGTTATGTATTTGTTCTCTACCTCAGTACCTCATAACGAAAAGTTATTAAATATTAAGTGAGCATATGGTAACTTTGTTTTCAATTATCAGCCATATTTTTACCAAACACTAACTTTTGCTTTCGCGTGCTGAATTGGTTATTCATGAAAAGCAAGACCGAGTGGATGTACTTTTGTGGCTGAACTGGCCAAAGAGGGTCATTTTTAACTTCTATTTGTTTAAGTTTTTTCTTTAATTTCCTGATAGATATGTATTTGTTTCTCATAATTCAGCACATTCGCCCATTCTACTTATAACTTCCGCATTTTCAGCCAGATTTTAGGCTTGCCAAACTAGCTCAGAGATAGTCAAGTAGCCATTTCAGCTTGAATCTATTCAACTTTTTCTTTATTTTACTAATAAAATGTTTCTTATACATGTTTTTAATATTTCAGCACATTCAACCATTTCAGTTATAACTTCAGCTTATTAGCAGATTCGCCATATTTTAGACTTGCCAAACGGGGTCTGAGATGGTTCAATAGAGAGGTAGCTTCTGTGATAAAATTGCAAGAGTGCAGAAAATAGAGGATAGTTGACCAGATCACATACCACATATATGAAATGCTGAAGAAGGTAACGGAGGCATATACAGTTCCTGTATATTGAGCTGTTTGGAGTGGCAAAATCGTCGTAACCATCTCGCAAACAGCAGCATATACCGCCCATGTTACTGTCCAGAATCAGACTCTATCATGTACTTCTCTTTTAAGTTCAAACTGAGAGAACCCAAAGCTCACAGAAGTTGTGGGAATGCGAACCACCAACCACTTTCTGTTGAGAACAAGACTGAATGGTTTAGCGAAACAATTATATGAAACAAAATGCATAAGCTAAAGATATTCAACTTTAAACAATAAAACCTTAAGAATGCATTACAAAAGCGACAGTTAAGAGATAAAAGGAGCGAATTTTCAATTTCTCTACTCAGAAGTAAAGAATTAGAAAACGACTCTAATATGTCAAAAATCAAGCTTATCATATTCAAATTCAGTCAGTCCTGTTTTAGATTATCCAAAGAAATCTAAATTCCTGTTTCGGAATTCAAAATTAGCTTTCGTGAATCAAACTGGGGAAACCCATTGGAGACAACAAAAGTGAAAACTGATCACAGCTAGCTTTACCGGGAAACAAGGAAGCATGTATCACTGTAAACAACATAGTGACACGGAGTCTTGAAAGAGAAAACGAAGAAATACCTCAACTTAGGAGGAGAGTGGACTCTAAACTACTCCAGCTTTTCCAGTTGTTTGAGAAAAGTCGATGGACAATGCCGTCAATGGATCAGAGGTCGGATGTAGGGATGTCAAAAAAACTTTGAACCGCCCAGCAGGCCTGTTCCTGGTATCACTATCTACCCGTACCGGCCTGACCCACTCAATATATTTCAACTGTGTAAATTATATTTTTTCTTAAATTATACTATAAATATATTTCAACATACATATGTGTGTAAATTCTTTGATCTTATAATATATCAATATATATATATATATATATATTGCCCTAATTGGGCTTCTTTCTCGATTTTGAGGGGTTTTCGGTCCGGTCCCCCCTCTTCTGTATGCATATTTTTGTTTAATAATATCTTGTAAATGTCCCCCGGCATTTACCCCACTGATTTTGGTGGTTTGCCTTCCGGGGTAAATATATATATATTAGATTGAGATGAACGACGGATTATCAATGTCTTCTTTATATATAGCACTGTAATACATATATTCAAGTATTAATTAATATAATTAAATAGATTAACTATTCAAATCTAAGTGATTTTTCCTTAACTTTTGAAATTTGTAGCGTCTCGTGTTTAATATATTAATTTTTAATAATTATTTAAAGATAAACTTCATGTAGATTCAATTGGTAACAACTTCTCACAAATATGAATACATACTAGCTAATTAGGTTACGGCGGGCGGGGCGGGTCATGGGTCAACAAGTTTGGACCCGTGCAGGTCACGGGCCGGGGCGGACCCACCCCGTCAAGTCACGGGGCGGGTCTGGGTCTTGCAGTACCCGTCCCGCCCCGACCCATTGCCATGTCTAGTCGGATGCCTTTGGTCTTCAATTGTTCTCCATATTGTGTAATGCTAATCTGTTGTAAATTCCTGAAAATGACAAGTGTGAATTGTTCATCCTTGTCATCAGGACACTAATCCAATTTCAATCCTTTTAATAGACAGATGGCTAGGTTGATGTTGCCAGCAAATTATGTAGAATTTTGATTCATCTCTTAGCCAACTAGTATAAATAGGGTGATCAATCCTTTGTAAATTTAACTTAGAGACTCAGAAATTTTCAGATATTAAGAAGTAATTTAGAGGTTCTATCTATATATATATATATATATATATATATATATCATAAATTTGTTCTTCATCTTCTTCATTTCACAACACGTTATCAGCACGAATCAGCTCAAAATCTTCAAAAATCGTCATCACCATTACCTGTAGGAAAAAAGGGTCACATAAGCCCTTCAACTATCACCAAAACATCACATTAACCCATCTACTTATAAAAGCATCACTTAAGTACATTTACTCTCCAAGAACCATCAATTTGGTCCAATTTACCGGAAACTTACCCACTCAGCCGGTTAAGTACATGACTGCATGTTTGACATTTTCTTTTCCTTTTTTTCTTTTCGTTATTTTCTCTTTCTTCTGCGTTCTTTCTGCTTGTTTCTTAATGCATTCCCACCCCCAACTTATAATTTAAGCAACGATTTCTGATTTTCTCTCATTTGACTGCTTCCACGTCCAAGTTTAAAATACTGGAGATCCACGGTCAAAACCTGCACGGAAGCTGGGTCTCGATCATCATCATCGCCGACACCATATTGACCCTCCTTCTCCATGTCAATCTCATATACTACCTCCGTTCTTAAATAAGTGCAACATGTTGAATTTTACACTATTCACATGTTCTACTTTGACTAAGTTTTATTTATTAATGCATTAATATATTTTTTTGAAAAAAATTACATTAAATTTGTCTAATTATAAATTTTCACAATCTGATTTTTTAAATTTTTTACTAATAGAGAATTATATATATTAACGGTCAAAGTTGTGCCTCGGCAAATGTGAAAAGTTGACCATTGCACTTATTTAAGAACGGAGGAAGTATATAGATACATAGTCCGTATTATATATGTGTGTGTAGTCCTCCAGGTGATCTCTACTCTACTTCTCCAGTTCTCCAGGAGAGCGACGAAATCCCTCTATGCTCATCCATGGACGGGAGCGGTGGAGGACGAAGACATCTCATTTCATTCTTCTGCAGACCTGTTTCGCACTTCCGCTGCTTCAACAATTCTTGACGACGGGGCGGAGCCAGAGCACTGTTGGCCCTCCCCTGGCTCCGCCCCTTAGTTGACGCCAAGAAGTCCAGAACATGGAACGGACGTGAAAGGGCCGAAGGGGACAAAGACATTAGTGGAGAGCGAAGAATAAAGTACGAAGGAGGGGATCAGAAGGTGAGAGTAGACGCGTAGGTGATGGATATGAAATTGTTGGAACGAGGGAGTACCAAGAAAATTTAAAAAATAAAAGGAGTAACCTGCTATAGAAGGTTACCTTTCCTTAATTTGACTTAATTGATTGTTTTTTAAAAGTATATGAACTCATGTGATTGTTTTTTTAGTACATGGGTCTAAGTGATGTTTTAACATTTGTAGAAGAGTCTATATGACACTTTTTCCATATTTATATCTTATTTCAACGTAACCATGAAAAAATTTGCTCACTGTTTGTTCAAAATTGAAACCCTTCGTATTACATGCTAAAATTAAAAATATATATATAGAATGATTTACCTTTGAGCAACCATTTTCCTCAATCGACCTTGTCACCGTGATGAGATTTTCGTAGCAGAAAAAAATGATTTATGAAGAATACAAGTTATAATACTCCGTAATTAATTAGAATGATAAAAATGGTAAAAATTTAAATAAAAAAATAGAATACCTGATCGTTTAAAACCCATAAGGAGTAAATGGAAGCAAATAATTAATTCAATACTATGAAAATAAAAGAAAGATAATAAAAGAACAAAGGCTAGAGAGTTTAATACGGAGTAGAAAATATGAGACGTAGAGATGCAACTAGCCTAAATAATCATACTTGATGAAAATATAAACATACTCAGAGTCTCAACATATATACAACAAGTTAGTCACGTGAATGGTTCAAACTTCAAAGAGTCTCATTACAAGGATCGAAAGATCACGGGTATCCAAATCAGAGCAAAACAAACAAACAAAATATTATAATAATACCTCTTTTCAGAAATTTTGGTCACGGGCATTCACTATATTTGTTTGTTTACTACTTGAACCTTGTAGAACACATTTAAGTATTATTGTACTGAATCATAACAGACCTAGCTATTTAATATTATGGCAGTTATCAACTCCAAAATAGCTCCCTCGTGATACTACATACGAAGTAGAATATTTCGACCTTTTAATCTATAGGTAATCAAATTTGTTTCTAATAGAGGATAAGAGGAACTTCACATTTATTTGCAAGTATCATTACTAAGCCATGTAACAAGTTTGAAGATAAGGATTGCCATTCAATATTTCGATTGCTATATGCTATATGGTGATTTTTGTTTTTATCTGTCAAAAAAAAAAGAAAAAAAAGTAAAATACAATTTTACTAGACTGTCTGCTCTTGAGTCCACCGAACAACTTTTAGATTTTTTTTATTTTTGTAATTTAAGTATGATAATTTTAATATCATATGACCAATTACAAGTAGAAACTATTTATGCATATTACTATTCAATATGTTACGTGGTATAATTTGAACAAGCTCAATGAATTTTGTTTGTTTTAACTACTATAATAAATAGGTCATTAAATAATGTATACCTATTAGTGTTATTACTTACTAATACTAATGTGGTTATGCTCCATATATCTAATTAAGTTTAAAATAATAATTTTGTAGTATAGCAAACATTAGCAAAAGAGAATTCGACGTTCTTGATCTGTCCGGTCAAAAATACCTGGAATGGAAAGTTGATGCTCTAGCACATTTAAAGGCTAATGGTCTCGAAGACACTATTGAGGCTATTAATCAATCATCTTCCCAGGATAAAGCGAAAGCTATAATTTTTCTCCGTCACCATCTCCATGAAAGTTTCAAATCTGAATATCTTTTGGTTGATGACCCAAAAGAATCATGGGACAATTTACAGGAGAGGTATGGCCACCAACAAAAGAATCATGGGACAATTTACAGGAGAGGTATGGCCACCAACAAAAGGTCCTTTTGCCTAAGGCTTAGTATGACAGGATCAATCTAAGATTTCAGGACTTTAAATCAATCAGTAACTATAATTCTGCTATGTTCCAAATAACATCTAAATTAAAGTTATGCGGACAAAAAGTCATTGATGTTGATATGTTGGAGAAAACCTTTTCTACTATGCATATCTCTAACATGTTACTCCAACAACAATATAGAGAAAAGGGTTTTAAAAAATACTCCGACTTAATATCAGTATTTTTGGTAGCTGAGCAAAATAATGACCTTTTGATGAAAAATCATAATCTAAGACCCACTGGTTCTAGTCCTTCGGTTTATGGTCCATCTGGCCATAATTTAGCCACTGAATCAAATGCAACAAACAGTGGCAGTAGAAGACATTTTAAACGTGGGCATTTTAATGGTCATAAAAACAAGTCACACCGAGAATACAAACAGGTCGAACCACCAAATTACAAGGGCAAGGGCAAATAAAAAGCCCATCAAATAAATCGCCCTCCAAAAACCTCGGTAAAGACGACTTGTTATAAATGTGGCATGATGGGGCATTGGGCTAACAAATGTCGTACTGCGAAACATCTGGTGGAATTATTTCAAGCTTCCATGAATTTGAACAAAGGCAAAAATATGGAAACTAATTATGTCAATGACACAACTTCACCTCTGATAAAATTTGACGTGTCTGACTTTTTCGCGGATGATGTCAATATGGACGATGCTTTTGCCTTTAACCAAAATGTTACTAAATAAAATAGTAGACTCCTGATGTTGTATAATACAGGTTTTATGTACTTTTTCTTTCTTTCCCTTTTTATTTTGTTTTTAAATAAATATGTGTAATGTATATACTCTTATGTTAAATAATATGCATAATTTGTGATCAAACTTATGTTTATTTATATATATTGAAGATATGGATCACTCAAATGATAAAGAGTTATGTTTGATAGACAGCACCATAACACACACCATTTTGAGAAATAAAATATATTTCTCTCAAATGACTTTAGTTGAGGCTAAAGTCAATACCATATCAGGTGTTGCGAAACTCATTGAAGGCTCTG